TTACAGTTAAAAACTGGGCTTGCTTAGCTTGGAGGGGTACTGACTTAGAGATGATGTAATGTGTATGTAAACCCTAAAAAAACCTGTTTTATCCTGTGGGCGTCATGGTTTTGCACTGGAGGCTTCTTTTTCTTTTATTTGCGCCTGGTGATCTTACTGGATTGTGTGACAACACTGGCTTACTGTTTGTCTATGGAGGTGCAGTGTTGTCATCCTAGGCCTCATGCATATTCCACTGGCACATACAGCCTAATTGCCATCACTGAGAAGCACTGAGAAAGGACGCTGTGAGCAAATAAGAAAAAAGTCCACTGTAAGAACATTTAAGAGATCCATCATCGTTTTCAAATATATTTTGACACATAGATTTGCATAAGAGGGTTTAATTATACTTTAATGTGTATAAAGAGATTTAAGGTCAGTATAAAGATCAGGCAAATGGAAACAGAGGTCAAGGTGCTAGACATCGCTCAATGAAGAAATCCATACTACATGCATTCAAAACCTTAATTTATTAACATAAATGGTAAAAATACAATAAAATCTTCTTCTATATCCATCTTCAGACCAGCAAAGCCTTCGTAATATCACATTTTACCCCAACTCTTTTTTTTGCAACACAATGTTTCGGAGCACTCAGCATTTTTCTCCAGAAATTGGTTTTTAAATTTAAGTCATGTGATCCCGCGGTCCTGCTTTCTATCCCAAAAGAAGCAGCCTAGGAAACGGGATTGCTCCAGCTGTTAGCATGTGATGTAGTCACATGACAAAGGAAGGTACTATGGCTCTATAGGACAAAGCTGGAGAAGCTTGATATCACTGGAGGGTTCCACCACCAAGGCATATTTTTTTAACTTGGTACCATTTGAGGCAGAATCACACAAATGAGATACCTCTCAAGGTCCTATCTCGTCCCATAACTCCTGCTTGTGGTGCATGGCTCCAACGCTCCTCAGACCATAATTTATGCGCAAGAACAAATGTCAGCACACAGCTTCTTCCTCCATTGACACAATATTATAAATGCACCTGACACACAGGATAAAACAGCTTTGCGTTTCAGCCTACACAGCCTTAGTCATAACTGAGGCCGTATAGGCTGAAGCACATCTGAAGTGAGTTTATCAAAACTGGAGCAGGCAAAATCTGGATCAGCTGTGCATTACAACCAATCAGCATCCAAATCTTATTTTCAAAGCTTAAGTGAACAAACTGTAGAGAGAAGCTGATTGATTGCCATAGGCAACTGCTCTAGATTTTGTCTGCTCCAGTTTTGATAAACCCCCCCAATCAGTGTTTTATCTTGTATATCACATGCATTTATAATAAAGTATCATCAGAGGAAAAAGCTGCGTCATTATGGTATAGTATGGGATATGGTATAGTATGGGGTATGGTATAGTATGGGGTATGGTATAGTATGGGGTATGGATATAGTATGGGGTATGGTATAGTATGGGGTATGGTATAGTATGGGGTATGGTATAGTATGGGGTATGGTATAGTACGGGATATGGTATAGTACGGGGTATGGTAAAGTATGGGGTATGGTATAGTAAGGGGTATGGTATAGTATGGGGTATGGTATAGTATGGGGTGTGGTATAGTACGGGGTATGGTATAGTACGGGATATGGTATAGTACGGGTATGGTATAGTATGGGGTATGGAATAGTACGGCGTATGGTATAGTATGTGGTATGGATATAGTATGGGGTATGGTATAGTATGGGGTATGGTATGGTATAGTATGGGGTATGGTATAGTATGGGGTATGGATATAGTATGGGGTATGGTATAGTATGGGGTATCGTATGGTATAGTATGGGGTATCGTATAGTATGGGGTATGGATATAGTATGGGGTATGATATAGTATGGGGTATGCTATAGTATGAGGTATGGTATAGTATGGGGTATGGATATAGTATGGGGTATGGTATAGTATGGGGTATCGTATGGTATAGTATGGGGTATGGTATAGTATGGGGTATGGGTATAGTATGGGGTATGATATAGTATGGGGTATGCTATAGTATGAGGTATGGTATAGTATGGGGTATGGATATAGTATAGGGTAAGGTATAGTATGGGGTATGGTATAGTATGGGGTATGGATACAGTATGGGGTATCGTATAGTATAGTATGGGGTATGGTATAGTATGGGGTATGGATATAGTATGGGGTAAGGTATAGTATAGTATGGGGTATGGTATAGTATGGGGTATGGTATAGTATGGGGTATGGATAAAGTATGGGGTATCGTATAGTATAGTATGGGGTATCGTATAGTATGGGGTATGGTATAGTACGGGGTATGGTATACTACAGGGTATGGTATAGTATGGGGTGTGGTATGGTATAGTACGGGGTGTGGTATAGTACGGGGTATGGTATAGTACGGGATATGGTATAGTACGGGTATGGTATAGTATGGGGTATGGAATAGTACGGCGTATGGTATAGTATGTGGTATGGATATAGTATGGGGTATGGTATAGTATGGGGTATGGTATGGTATAGTATGGGGTATGGTATAGTATGGGGTATGGATATAGTATGGGGTATGGTATAGTATGGGGTATCGTATGGTATAGTATGGGGTATCGTATAGTATGGGGTATGGATATAGTATGGGGTATGATATAGTATGGGGTATGCTATAGTATGAGGTATGGTATAGTATGGGGTATGGATATAGTATGGGGTATGGTATAGTATGGGGTATCGTATGGTATAGTATGGGGTATGGTATAGTATGGGGTATGGGTATAGTATGGGGTATGATATAGTATGGGGTATGCTATAGTATGAGGTATGGTATAGTATGGGGTATGGATATAGTATAGGGTAAGGTATAGTATGGGGTATGGTATAGTATGGGGTATGGATACAGTATGGGGTATCGTATAGTATAGTATGGGGTATGGTATAGTATGGGGTATGGATATAGTATGGGGTAAGGTATAGTATAGTATGGGGTATGGTATAGTATGGGGTATGGTATAGTATGGGGTATGGATAAAGTATGGGGTATCGTATAGTATAGTATGGGGTATCGTATAGTATGGGGTATGGTATAGTACGGGGTATGGTATACTACAGGGTATGGTATAGTATGGGGTGTGGTATGGTATAGTACGGGGTGTGGTATAGTACGGGGTATGGTATAGTATGGGGTGTGGTATAGTATGGGGTGTGGTATAGTATGGGGTAAGGTATAGTATGAGGCATGGTATAGTATAGGGTAAGGTATAGTACGGGGTGTGATATAGTATGGGGTATGGATATAGTATGGGGTATGGTATAGTATGGGGTATGGTATAGTATGGGGTATGGTATAGTATGGGGTATGGCATTAGTTAGACCTATTTTTAAAAGTAATTCTCAAGCAACCAGAAACTACATTTCTCCGGAATCTACCAATCCCCGTGGATGCCGGATAACGGGGAGTTTACTGTATTTTGATGCTATGAAAGTTGACAAACATCTTCTTTGCAGTGCTGTTGAACTGTGATTTAGGCAAAATCTCCCCATGTTGCTTGTAACATTTCATTCCTCTTTGTTAAATAATAAGATGACCTTTATGACTCAGACACTCTTCGCACCGCAAAAAGTTACTGCCACAGTCGGGAAGATGGCTTTTGTGAACGTTTCAACTTTTTTTTTTTCTCCTTTTGATCATGGAAGAGTTTGATCTGTTTCAAGTAGACTTTTCTCCATCATTGGTATGCAGAGGCTGAAAAACAAGACGGACTTGTTATGAATTATTGATCATTGATTATCCATGCTCTGGACTTCCTGGCAATGCAGAGGTTCTCTACGTCTCAGGTTGATAAGGTTTACGTTAGGGCGGACCTCTTACCCTCTCACCCCCTTACTAGAGATTTGAGGTTGAATCCAGAATTTCCATTGCTAATGCTATGCTTGGTTGCTAATTGCTAATGTTAACATGTTTATAAAGCCCAAACTAAGTTGGTCTCAGTTCTGCATGGAGTAAACAAGTGTTAAAACCCAGAGGCGTAACTAGAAACTTCAAGGCCCCGGTGCAAGAAACCACGAAAGGGCCCCCCCAAACTCCCACCGCCATGGAAAGGCACTATAAACAGGCACCGTGTGGTCAACAGGAAGGCTGCCGAGGTCCCCAGCAAGCGCGGGACCTCAGGCAGCCGCTTCAGTTTAAAAATTTAGTGCCGGTGTTCTGTCGAGAACGCCGGCCCAGTATCTGCGGTTGACGCACAGACAGGAATAACGAGGAAACCGGCATTTATTTACAAACTGTTAGTTTGTAATTGTTATTTGTGACCGTTAATAATATGCCATCCATGGCAGTAAATGATGGATGGCAGTAAATGATGGATGGAATATTTTTAACGGTCACAAGTAACAATTTAAACAAAATACTTTGTCAATAAATCCCTGTTTCTTCAATAATACTGGTGTGCACGCGCAGATGCTGAGGTTGGCAAATTCGACTAGGTCGGCCTTCTCGGCAGAACACCGGTATCTGCTCTTAGTATCGGGGTGCATTTTCACAAGTAGGAGTACAACTGAAATGCCCAGTATTTGAGCGGCACTATGAAGGGGGGGGGGGGTTGTAGCATGAGGGAGCTGCGGGCCCTCTTCTTCCTCTCTGGGCCCCCCCAACAGGCGGAACACCAGGGCCCTGTCACAATTGCAACCCTGGTAGTTCCGCCAGTGTTACAATCCTTTTCAGTTTGATAGGGAGCTTTGCCCGCTCTATTTGGCCTGGTGACCATTGTCACTTATGGAAAATCCAAATTTTACAGTTGCCACCAGAAAAGGAATAGAGCAGAATCTTCCCATGGGAATATTTGTTCTGCCTAAGAGTATTTCCTCTAACTTTGGAGAGATATCCTCTCATTTTCTATTGTGTGTCTCCAGGACAGGAAGTGAATGGAAATTCCTCCCAAACGAAGGAGATACCCTTGTTCACTATACAGTGAAGCTTTATTAAATGTTATGTCTTTGTCCTTACAGGTCAATGAACAAGCTAACCCAGCTGGAGAGACTTGACCTGGGCAATAACGAATTCAGTGAGCTGGTAAGGAGACAAATGTGTCCACATATAAGAGGCTTATTAGAACAATTCCTTTCTACCGGTAGCACTGCAGTGTGTATAATGGGTGCACACCACAACGCACAACTCTGAATGCAGTTGCTGGAGACTGCTCTGTCCCTTGTGATTCTGCACGGGCAGGGCCGGATTTCCCACAAGGCCAACCGAGGCCCGGCCTCGGGGGAGCAGGGAGTAAAGGAGCAGCAGGTGTGTGGCATTCCTATCTCCCGACGGCCGGGACATACAGTTCCAGGCGTCAGGCGGGTAGTTGTTTTCTACATTTAGCCCTGCTTTGGGCAAGCAGAGCTAAATGTACAGCAAGGAAGCCGCCACTTGTTTTGTACAAGTGATCTTGGCGATGTTGCAGAGAACACTTGTATTCAGCCTGCATACAGGGGGGAGCATTGAGGAACCTGTCCTTGGGGCAGAAGAGAGAGTAAATCTGGCCCTGAGTACGGGACAGGAAGTTCATGGAAGCCAAGCTTAGAGTGTTGGAGCTGTTTGGAAATATGATGACTGTAAGTGCTTGGGCAAAACTGTAAAGAAATACTTTGCTAGGCGATGTAGAGTTGTTTGATCTGGATTTATTATTGAAAAAAGTTGGAGAGTTTAAAAGAGAACTATGAGGTGAGTGCTTTTCACTCATCCTCATAGTTCTAGCCAACCAATGAAATTGTCATTAGTCGGCTCAGTAGATCGGGAAGTGAGCGATCTCGATCCTGTGACTGCAGAGAGCCGTGACAGGGGATTCCCCCCTCCCCTGTCCGATTCTCCAGCGAAACGTGACCCCGTCTTTTATATTGTACCAAAAAATTGGGGTAAAAATAAATGTTTAATAAAATTTTATAGGGAAACATGTTTTTTTTCAAAATTTATGGTACTTTTTTTGTTATATAGTAAAAAATAAAAACCCCAGTGGTGAATAAAAGCCACCAAAAGAAAGCTCTATCTGTCCCCAAAAAATGGTATGAAAATCGTTTGAGTAAAGTGTTGCATGACAGAATAAACATCAGTCAAAGTACCGCAGCACTGAATACTGAAAAATGGCCTGGCCAGGAAGGGGGTGAAACACTATGGCCTTTAAGTGGTTAAAGGCACAAGGAAACCCATAAAGAGTCAGGCTGTTACCATAGAAAGTTTAGCAGATTTAAAAGAGATAGTTTATATTACGGGTGCCGCCGCAGACATAAACCGAGCTCGGCGGAGCCGTTCCCCCCACATTCCATATTGCGTTCATTTCCCAACGCACGCTCAGTGAATAAACAGATCTGGTTGCTACTGCGGGGCAGGCAAGTGTGTGATGTGTTTATTAGACGGTGCTGTAATAACGGAGGAAATAAGCCAGCTTTGTCATCTCTTGCAGCCGGAGGGTCTGGAGCAGATACAGCATCTGAAGGAGCTGTGGATGGACAATAACTCACTCCAGAAGCTGCCTGGGGTAATCATTTTACACCGCGCTTGAGTTTTTTTTTCTTTCTTTTCCATGCTACACATATTTGCCACTCAATATTTTGTTTAAAATCCGTGTCTACAATATAAATACAAAATCCTCGCTTGGCCAGCTCAGGACAAACCCGACGCTGTAAGCAGCTGACACAGTGTAATCTTCTGCTGCATCTTCAGTGGGCCTGCGGATTAACTTTTTGACCTAATTTCCACATTGTGGAAGTGAAATGGCTCTTGCTGAATAGGGAAGGTTCACGGTTATTAGAGGCTCTCTCCTCGGTGTTATTATGTCGAGTCTGCTCCGCGGATGAGCCATCGCTTTTCTACTTCAAACAAGTAGCCGGGCCACTAGAAAGCGGCTTCAGCGCTGCAAATGTACTTGGGGTCAGAAAACCAGAGACTTGTCTTTTGAAGTGTGTGAAAGCAGATCTGGTGTACCAGTGATCTGCCGGGTCTGTGCATTGGGGCATAGGCTTGTTGATGTAGCTAGATTTACCTATCAGTCTATCTATCTATTATCTCTCTATCTATCATATATCTATCCATTCAATATCTATCTAATCTGTCTGTCTGTATCTATCTATCTATCTATCTATCTATCTATCTATCTATCTATCTATCTATCTATCTATCTATCTATCTATCTATCTAACCATCTATCTATCTCTATCTATCATATATCTATCCATTCAATATCTATCTAATCTGTCTGTATCTATCTATCTATCTATCTATCTATCTATCTATCTATCTATCTATCTATTTATCTCTATCTTTTTATTGATCTATCTATCTATCTATCTATCTATCTATCTATCTATCTATCTATCTATCTCTTTCTTTATATCTATCTCTCTCTCTCTCTCTCTCTCTCTCTTTCTTTCATGTTCTATCTATCTATCTATCTATCTATCTATCTATCTATCTATCTATCTATCTTTATCTATTTATTGATCTATCTATCTGTTTCTTGATCTATCTATCTATCTATCTATCTATCTATCTATCTTTCTCCTCTCTCTTTCATGTTCTATGTATCTAAATCTGTCTATGAATCTATCTATCTATCTATCTATCTATCTATCTATCTATCTATTTCTTTATCTATCTATCTATCTATCTATCTATCTATCTATCTATCTATCTATCTATCTATCTATCTATCTATCTATCTCACACACTCTCTCTCTCTTTCTTGTTCTGTGTATCTGAATCTATCTATCTTTCTATCTGTCTGTCTGTCTCTCTCTCTCTCTCTCTATCTACCCTGTTTCCCTGAAAATAAGACCTACCCCGAAAATAAGACCTAGTACTATTTTTGGGAATTGCTAAAATATAAGACCTACCCCGAAAATAAGACCTAGTTGTGACCATTGCCAGGGCTGGTGGTGGCATAAGGCGGAACCTGAAGAGCCGCGGGAGAGAATCAGCGGTGCCAATGAATGGAAAGGTATGGCACCCCTGATTGCCCTGATCACCCTATTCTTAACTTAGCCATTTTGGATTATTTAATTAGGATTTGCATTAACTTTAGATTGTTATACATTAAAAAATAAATAAAAAAATAAGACCTACCCCGAAAATAAGACCTAGTGTGTTTTTTTGGGCCCCAAAAAATATAAGACAGTGTCTTATTTTCGGGGAAACACGGTATATATCTATCTTTTTATTGATCTGTCCCTTTCTTGATATCTATCTATCTATCTATCTATCTATCTATCTATCTATCTATCTAGTTGTCCTTTAATGCAGAAATAGTTTTTTGAACACTATAGATAATGGTGCAATGTAAGCCAACAACAATAGTAATAATAAATTATATGGTTTTGTTAAAAGGTGTGAATAGTACTCTTCTAAAAGCAAGAATCGTCATTCATATTTCTACACGTTCTGCTCTTTTGTGGTGCCCACATTACACTCTGGGATACCAGAAGTCCAGACTTAAAGCTCAGGCCAGGGAATGCAGTGTATACCCGGGATTGGGGGCTCCCTGAACTCACCATAGAATCTTTGCTGAGAATTGGAGGCGCGCCATTGTGCTTGTGGTGCCTGTTTTTAAAGGCTAATTCTTCAGCATTATGGTTTTCTGTTTGTGAACAGGTTCACTTTAAAGACTTTCTCTTAGGTCTTTATTGTTGGTTACTTGGCAGGCTAACCTGCAAGAGAGGACTAGAAGGTAGAGGATGGAGCAAGGATTTTGGCTTTTAATGCAGATTGGTTTCGCTATACCTTTGTATATCAGTACTGCTTGGGTGAAGAGGACCTCAAAGCAAGTCCTGAAAAAGGAACTGTTATTGCAAATAAACATAAAGTACAGTACTCAACAATGTTGTTACTTTCTGGTACACAGACAGAGATAATTGTTGTTAATAATCACATGTGCCTAGCTAAAAAAGTTGTCTGTCTGTAACAAGTCTATAGGAAAATTGAAACACCTCATCTACCTGGACATGTCCAAGAATCGGATCGAGGCTATAGAAATGGAAGTGTCTGGATGTGAGTGCCTCGAAGACCTATTACTGTCCTCCAATCTCTTGCAGCACTTGCCTGACTCCTTAGGTAAGAAAATGTTAATTGACCTATTGCCATTTGTTGCTGTGAGCCTTACAGAATCTTCAACACATGTGTAACTCATGTGCTTCAAATACAAGAGCCAAGTCTATTAGACCCCTAATGTCACCTAGGGACCCCAAAGGAGCTGATGAAGCAGGGATCGTGCTTCACCAGCTTTTTCTCTGGCTACTGCAGCCAGAGAAATGACAGACTGAACCCGAAAGCGATGTGTATTATATCACTTCCAGGTTCAGGGATCGGAGGGGAGATCGGCCTCTGGAAGTGTGCTGATTCCCTCCGATCGAAATGCAGAAACCTGCCGTGTTGGTCCTGGGCCCACATGGGGGACAGCAGAGCCAAGAATAGCTGGTGCCGGAGGGGACTCACACTTCCCCAGCATCATACAAGCGATCAGGCCACCCAACCGCTTATATGTAACAGCCATCGCCAGCTGTAAAGATGTTCAAAGTCTCCCGCTTGTGTGCAGGAGGCATGCACAAACGGGAGTGGGAGAAGCCCTTTACAGTGCAAGCTGTCTGGCTGTTTAAATGGCCATTTAAATACAATGGCTGGGCGGCAAGCAGTTAAAGAGCATCTGACCATTTGCCACTATAGGTCTTTGTCTTTGGGCTGCTCAGACAGAGACAGCTTTGTATTCCATGTAGTCAAGAACCAGCTGCACTCCTTACCGGAATAGTAGTAAACCTGCCAAGCAGGTGGGTGCTTGTAGTGACCTCGGACGGCCCCGTGAACAATGCATATCTAGAAAGGATTGTCACCAGCACACCAAAGGTTTTGAAGCAAAAAGTCCTTTATTGACAAATCGCCATCCAATACGATAGCACACCAAAGGTTTTGAAGCAAAAAGTCCTTTATTGACAAATCGCCATCCAATACGATAGTATTGGATGGCGATTTGTCAATAAATAAATAAATAAAGTATTGGATGGCGATTTGTCAATAAAGGACTTTTTGCTTCAAAACCTTTGGTGTGCTGGTGACAATCCTTTCTAGATCAGCTTTGTATTCCATTCACCCGTTAAACAAAATGAACATAAATTAAAAATAAAATCATACGTTATTAAAGTATCTAAAGCCAAAATGTATCTCATTATCAGTTAAAGATGAGAGTAGGTAATAGTTAAAGCCCCTGTCAGTCGCATTGGGTAGATTTCCCTTCATCTCTTTTCCCAGAAACAGGAAGTGAGATTACATTTCTCCAAAGTGAAGGGAATTTCCTGCTTAGACAGAGCATGTGCTCCCACTAGAAGTTTTACCCTTAATTCCTTTTCCGGTGTTGGGATATTCATCCATTTCTGTTGCAATGACATGGCCACCAGGACAAATAGAGACCATATATTTCCCTAGCAGGGACACAGCTCTAACCCTTCCTTGCTAATACAAAAAATAATAATTTTGGCTTTAGATATACCTTAAAAGTTTTGGTGTATATTCCTTGAAAACCACAGTTTCTTTCTAAGGGTGCAGAGCAGACTTTCTCAACCCTTCTTAACATAAAAATCTTAAGGAACCCTTGCTATTAATTACTATATCTAGAGCTTGTGGTACATTAGAATGAAGAGTAAGTTGAGAATAAAGAATAAATAGGAGAAAAGGGTATGAGGCGTACTTAGCATGTTTGATGCTCAGGGCTGTTCTATACAACAAAACTAATTTCAATCATAATAATGGAAAAAGTAATAGTAATGGATAGTAGATATATGTAAACAGGTACAATTGTAGTGTCCCCTTACACTGGTGGTCAGTGGAGAAATGCCTTCTTACTATGATGGTCAATGTAAAAGCCACTCCGTTACATTTGTGGTCAGTGAAGTGGCCCCTTACATGAGTGGTCAGTATAGTGGCACCTTACACTGGTGCTAGGTTAAATGCTTCCTTACATAGTGGTAACTTGAAAAGGGCCCTCCTAGGTTGGTGATCAGTAGAAGAAGGACCTCCTTGCATTGGTGGTCATTGCGAGAGCCAATGAGAGAAGTGTCCTATTACACTGGTGGTCATTGGGAAGAAAGCTCCTTACATTGGTGGTCATTGGGAAGAGTGTTCCTTACATTGGTGGTCATTGGGAAGAATGCTCCTTACATTGGTGGTCATTGGAAAGAATTGGTAGTCCTTGGGAAGAAAGCTCCTTACAATGGTGGTCTTTGGGAAGAATGCTCCTTACATTGGTGGTCATTGGGAAGACTGCTCCTTACATTGGTGGTCATTAGGAAGAATGCTCCTTACATTGGTGGTCAATGGAAACAAAAATGCAGCGTTTACAGATCTTAAAAAGATCATTGATGTCATTACAGATCTTAAAAAGATCATTGGTGTCAGTGGTTACTTATCTGAAAATGAGAAATTGCCCATTGCTAAAGGCACCCCAAGCAACTGCTGGAGGAACCCTCGGGTTCCACAGAACCCTGGTTGAGAAAGGCAGGTGTGGAGAAATAGTGCAGATGATTTTTTTGGCATGTACACTATGCCAGTACTGGGACACTTCTTAATTAATCAGAGTAGCTTAGAGCAGGGTGTGGTTTTAAGTGTGGTTAAAGTAGTATATGTCTAATGAATTTAAAGGATCAATACACTGAAGTCTTAAAGCTAAATCTTAGTTTGCAATATTATACTGCAGCTCGAGACTGAAAATTGCCCAAGGTTAGTTTACCAGTGGATTTCCAACCCTGGCTGTCTAAGTGCTGCCTCTCTTTTTACTCATGTCTACATCTCACCATAGGAAAACTCTTGTATTCTGCCAGGTCTCCTGAAAAAACTTACAACTTTGAAAATAGATGACAATCAACTTGTAGCACTACCAAATACGATTGGAAAGTGAGTATCCTTATTTTCGTTATACATGTTCAATGTATGTAAAGCATAAACTTTTTTTTTTGCTGTTTGTGTCCCATTGGGGAGATTTCCCTTCATCCTATGTCTGAGACACAGTAGGAAATAAGAGAAGAGCATTCCAGAGTGAGGGGCTATCACCTCCTAGAGAGCTGTCACAAGAACAGGTTTCCCAATTAGAGGATTTCCCCTCACATTCTGTTCTGGTGACAACAAGTTAGGGACTCGTATATTAAAGAAAAAGCTTTTGTGCTCACCACTCCTCCACAGCTGCAAGCACTAAATCTGGATACCAGTTTGTATATGATTTATGTTCTGGACTCATCATTACTTTCTGAACCAGAGACAAAGGTCACCAGGACCAGTGGAGTAACTATAGCCATAGCAGCCCAGGCAGCCTGGGGAAGGAAGGGGGCCCCATTAGGTTGTTGAGGAGTCTTTGTGATCTTGGCATCATTAGTCACAGCTCAAAGAGAGGTCGGGGGGCCCCATCACATTTTCGGTATGTGGCCCCCATGACCAGTAGTTACGGCCCTGACCATGACCAATAGTGAGAGTTAATCTACACAGCAAAGACATGGACAGTAATAATAACCCTTCTACATTAGATGCAAACAAAAGGTTGGGGCTTTACATACACTTTATGTGTATGTAAACTAAATGTTTGGATGTATTTACACATATTTGTGACCCTGGAGTGAGTGTACTGTATGTGAGCGAATCTTCAACCAGACAAAGAGCTAAATACATGATTGAGACACGTGTATAGGAACTGTATACCTGTCTAATGATTTGTAAAGTACGCTTGTGATTCTGTACCCCTTCTGTGTTATCTTGTTACATAGTCCCTCATAATCGTGACCATTATAAGGTCTTGTACACATAGACTTTAGCTTGTTAACACTAGAACTATGTGTACAGCAAGCTTTTACAATGCATTTCTCAAGTTATCAGCCAGCTTCAGCAGCTTTCTTGAAGACTCAAAAGCACCTTTCAGCTCTAATTTGGGCATGCTTAATACCTCAATTGGATTCCAAGATACAGTATGAACCTGAATAGATCTCAAACGTCAGCTATACATTGTTTCTGTGGAGTTTGCAACCATGGACTATGGCTGTAGACCCTTTCCGTCATATAATCCCTTTCCCTGAATGTAAAGTCTAAGGGATAGCGGGTGTTCTGCCAATGGCCCCCTCACGGAAGTATGGACTTGGCTGTATGCTATTCCCAGGTCAACAGATACTCTTGGACGCGGAGGAGGGTAGATGCCTGTAGAGCAGAAGAGATGGTTGTGTAGAAAGTGTAGTGTGTAGTAGAGGTAAAACTGACAGCAATGACGGCACGGGTATCACATATAGAACAAGAGAGTAACAGCAACACTGTTGGATCTGATTGCACTGTAGCACAGTTGGGGTGCTGGACACACAGTGGAACAAGGAAATAAGAGCCTTTGAAGGTGCATTCACACCTGAATCAGAGCCAAAAATGCAAGTCAACAGAGGTACGTTGACTTTAGTTTGCATAGAGTGTTGACATCCGTTGCGTTAGGTTGCACTATGTTGATTTTTGTTATGTAGCATTCAGCTGTGTTTTTTTGGAGGGGGGTTTGGTTTGATTTTTACACTAAGCTATATAGGGTATTGGCTCTGCCTTGCATTTACATGAATTAGCAGTTTATGCCAGTCCTTTGAGATGCGTTGTGTTGAAAAGAGTAGGCAAAGTGGTGCGCTACTGTTTTCTCAGTGGAGTGTATCCGAAATCTGCGCTCTGCCGCCCCGAGGCCGGGCCTCGGTGGCCTTGTGGGAAATCCGGGCCTGAATGCAACGGACTGCTGTGAAATGCTCCCATCCAGAGCCATTTTTTTTTCGGATGTCCTTGCGTTGGCATCCTTTGAAAAACAGACGCCAGCGGATCTGGTGCGAATGGGGCCTAAAATAACTGGGGTACTGGGCACAATGAGGACACAGTAGTAGACATGTGCGATTCGTTTCGTTCCAAATCAAAATTCGTACAAATTTTCCGACATTTGTAAACATCCAAATTTACGAATCAAAATGCATCCGAATGTGTCCAAATCCGAATTTCTGTTTCCGCATTTTGGATCCCCTCCGAATTTCGTTAAAAAACGAAACTGAATGGGACATGTGAGTTTTCTGGCTTTGAGATGTGTTTTTCGGTTTAATGGATCTGAACATGAATTTTCGTTACGGCAACATAGGAGCCATATACAGTATATACCGTGTTTCCCCGAAAATAAGACAGTGTCTTATTTATTTATTTTTCACGAAAAAAGACACTAGGTCTTATTTTCGGGGTAGGTCTTATATTAGAAATCCCCGAAGATAGCGCTAGGTCTTATTTTCGGGGTAGGTCTTATATTAGAAATCCCCGAAGATAGCGCTAGGTCTTATTTTCGGGGTAGGTCTTATATTAGAAATCCCCGAAGATAGCGCTAGGTCTTATTTTCGGGGTAGGTCTTATATTAGAAATCCCCGAAGATAGCGCTAGGTCTTATTTTCGGGGTAGGTCTTATATTAGAAATCCCCGAAGATAGCGCTAGGTCTTATTTTCGGGGTAGGTCTTATATTAGAAATCCCCGAAGATAGCGCTAGGTCTTATTTTCGGGGTAGGTCTTATATTAGAAATCCCCGAAGATAGCGCTAGGTCTTATTTTCGGGGTAGGTCTTATATTAGAAATCCCCGAAGATAGCGCTAGGTCTTATTTTCGGGGTAGGTCTTATATTAGAAATCCCCGAAGATAGCGCTAGGTCTTATTTTCGGGGTAGGTCTTATATTAGAAATCCCCGAAGATAGCGCTAGGTCTTATTTTCGGGGTAGGTCTTATATTAGAAATCCCCGAAGATAGCGCTAGGTCTTATTTTCGGGGTAGGTCTTATATTAGAAATCCCCGAAGATAGCGCTAGGTCTTATTTTCGGGGTAGGTCTTATTTTCGGGGAAACACGGTACATATAATACCAAAGCTGAGGCTCCCAGACCAGAATGGCATTCAGCATCCGAATTTCCAAATTGCATTAGGGAGCTCCCGAATGCCATTCGGGTTTGGGAGGCTTAGCTTTAGTATTATATGTATATGGCTCCCAGACCCGAATGGCATTCAGGAGCTTCCAAATGTAATTCGGAAATTCGGATCTCAAATGCCATTCGGGTCTAGGAGATTCAGCTTTAGTATTAATATCAGTTTATGGTTTAGTCCGAAACCCGAACCGAATTGAATTACAGATCCGAATCCCAAAATAACGAAATATTCGAACCAAACCGGATTTTTTCTGCAGCTTACATGTCTACACAGTAGCAGAGTCTCAGAAAGCACTGGGGAATGCCAGACAGGGCTGTGACATGTGGCAGAGCTGTATAGATGTCAGAACTGGATGCACAGAAATACAAATCCTCTGGCGGGTGAAACAGCTAATATATATGAATTCCCTCTGTGTGTTTAGCTATTTGCCTGGAGTGCTGCAATAATGGAGCGGCTCCCTTTGTCCTCTGTCCATTTTCCTTTCCATCATCTGGTCATGCACGCTTTCCTTTATTTCTGCCTAACAACATGCTGTTGCAAATGTTCTTTCTGTTTGCTGGCATCAGCGCTCAGTTCTCAAAACCCACTGACCACACACGGAAGATAAAAGCCCCGCACAAAGAGGAGGACTTGTTGGTGGACCAAAGTCTCTGCCAGATACCTAGAGCAGTTTGTGTCTGGATATGTTATAAAAGAGAGAAAGGATGATGTGTACACAATGCACTGCTCTATACAGCCCGCCACGGCCGGAGTCATTGTGGCCAGAACTCGTCTTTTTTATTCCATTCGCATTCAGCGCTGGCGATTCACAATAAGCAGCGGACAATTCTGTATACAGTAATAGCACGCTGGATACATTCGCCGCCGTCAGTCTGACTTAAACCGTCTCTTATTGTGTTGTTTATGTAAAGTCGGGGAATTGATTCACAGGGAATTCATATGGAAATTCCGAATGTGAATATACGTCCTGCACAAATATGCTGCTTCCATATATTTATTTCTGACTGCTGTTGACGAGTTTATTATATCTACGTGTCAGTGTTAATATGGATTCTGTGCTGATCTTACTAACTTATTGATTGAGGTTGTTACACGCTGGATAAAGTGTGAATATATTTCAATGATTGCATGGCAAATCTGATATTTTCTTTTTACTTACCAGCCTCATTGTTGGGATGTTCGCTTCTACAGGAATGTGATACAAAATAACTCTTTTGCTGCCTGGACGTATTTTGCGTTTTATATTTTTTGCACACATGTTTTCATCCACATTTTAGGCCTGAAAATTACTTCACCCCCCCGAGTTATATATTACATTTTAGGGATGCACCAATACCGGTATTTCGGTATTGAGTACGAGTATTGATATTTTTTTCCGATACTTGCCGATACCGATTACCAATACCTGAAGTCCCATTAAGGAAGCCAGGTGGCGTGTAATGACTCGCCACCTGGCTTCCTGATTAGCAGGGAAGTATCAGGCTAGGCATCGGAGTGTTTGGGCTAGTAGGAATACTTGCTCAAATACTCTGCATCGGCACCGATACCAATACTAGTATCAGTATCGGTGCATCCCTATTAAAAATATGTATTTCCTGAAAGCACAGACTCTGTAGAATAAAGTGACGTTGCATGATATTAGCACAATTCTTTATCAAACCCAACATGTCAGTAAAAATTAAACTTAAGTTGATTTTAGTACATGATAAAAAAAATATAATACACAACCCAAAAGATGAGGTTGTGCCAAGTAAATAAATACCCGGTATGCCAAGCTTAAAAATTGCGCACGCCCGTGAAACGGTGACAAAATACGGTACCCTACATTGCCCATAGGTGACGATTTAAAAGCCTGTACTAATCACCAGTTTAGAATTAACCATGTATATTGGCCCTGGAATTATTGTTCTCGCTTTGGCGCACGTGGAGATACCCAACATGTGTAGC